ACAGTTATCATTGCTAAAGATTAAGTCTTGTTACACCCATTTGGATTGGATTGTACCAATCTTCTCCTTGACGATTCACGAATCCCAGCTCTATTGAAGATCAGTTCTGAAAGGATCACTGTGAACCGCCTCAAGAAGGACATTAAACAACTAAATCTTAAACTGTCAGAACTCCAGGCCTTGTTGGAGGAAAAGGAGGCCCAATTAAGTCAGTCAGGAGGTGAGTGTGATTAATGTTGATGCTTTGCAGTGTACAATGATAGTAACTTCCTTGTTTTTATGTCAGTAATGCTTTATTACAAGCAGAAGTAGGAATCCTGGCAACAAACAGCTCATCAAAGTTTGCAGCTGCTAATGCAGAAGAAAATAGCATTTCACGAAGGGTAAAATCGACATCTGATCTTGGTAAAATCAACAGCATTCAGGATCAAAGTGGTGATATGCCTGCTGAGGATTTTCATTCAACTTCTAGGGTAGATAGTCATCTTAGTGGGAGTGAAAGAAGCCATGATTTGATAGCAGCACAAGGTAATTTATTGGTGACACAGAACCTATATATCTATATAGAATGTAGAGGGAGAAAACTGTTTAATTTGGTATGTAGTGTATTTTCTCTTTTTACTTTCTTTGTGAAACTAACTTTTGAGGAATAACTACCAATGGTTATGAAAACTAATCTTAAGTGCACATCTAGAGGAAAAACACAAAATTAGAAATAAAATCCATATTATTTTTTAATTCAAAATTTAAAATTGGCAAAAATGTACCACTTAGTTTTAGGAATTACTTTTTACAAATATTTTAACAATTTGTTATATTGCATACGTGTTAGGTGTGCATTACTACTTTATATAAGTGCGAAATTAGGTAAAATTTGATCTTTTGGCACAAAGGAAATGAATAGTGTACAACAACACAAAAGATGGATACCCCTGTACTCATTGATGTGGACATCTTGTCCATCATTTCCACAGAAATAGTAAGGTGGCAGTATAACTCGAAATCACAAACTGGCTTCTTGGATCACAGACATACTCTTGTTCAATTGTTACATCTTGGTAAAAACTCAAAAAGTTACTTCTTTTATTGCTGAATGGTTACCTATGAAAATTTTTTCAAATTCGCATACCAAGTTTAGTTGAATAGTTGATTAGGCATCAGTTACTACAAGCGCCACTTTTTACAATTTCATAGTTGAAGGTCTGCTCTAAATTGGCTTTTAAAGCAGTGGGTTGTGAGTTGTGCTTAATGATTTGGGTTTTAAATCAAGTTTGCCTAAAGTGCCATGATTGTTCGGGTGTTTTGTAATTTTTTTTGGTCATTTTATTGCAGAAACTGACGGTGAAATGCATCGAGATGAAGATTTTCCAGAAGTGAAAGTTGAATTTCAGGTAATCTCATTAAAATTCCTCTTGCAGTGCTTTTGCCTTTTTTTTGGGAAAAGCTTTTGATCACTCTGTTTCAAGTCTTAAAAATCATCTTAATAATCTTTATCACTTTGTAACATCATGCTTCTGAAACTGTTAATTGCAGGAGAGATTTTTGGGCCACACGAGTCCAATCAGCCGTTGTCGTTTTTCTGCATCTGGAGACAATATTGCAAGTGCTTCTGTAGATGGCACAGTCAGGTACGCAACCAAGCTAAACTCCTGGATTCATTTTAGCTTAAAAGTATCCTTTTGTTTATAGTTATTTGTTTTATGACGACTTCTGTAATCTTAAATGAAGGATTTGGACGTATGATTCATCAGCGCCTGCATCGAGGAATGCAACCATCTATTGTGGTGCTGAGGTCCTGTCACTTGAGTGGGATTGTAAATCTGATCGCTTGGTATGTACGAGCTGGCAGTATAACCAATCACAATATGTGTCTTTGTCTATGTGTTTTTCTTTTCACTTTTTGATGAATAGATGTTTGATTGCTACCTGACTGGATCTAAGTGCAAATGTTTATATTGTTGATCTTGGTGAAAGCTTCTTATTGGGACTGCTGATGGATGCATTAAAGCATGGAATGTTGATGCTAAGCGTGTTGTTTGTGATCTTAACTCCAATAGAGAATTCCCAAGGTGTTCATCTATCTTACTCAAGCAAGATAAAAAATGAGTTTCATGTCTGTGAATGATTTCCATGATATTGGTTTTTTATTGCAGTGTCTTGGATATTAAATGCAGCCCGGTGGAGCCAATATTCGTCTCTGCTTCAGCATCCAGAGGGTAAGTCTTAGTTATACTTGATACCCATCATGGTCTATGATCCCCATTGTTTTTTGCTCTTCTTATGATGGTTTTTCCCAAGTGCATGGAATCATAAAGATTGCATGGGAAGATTTCGTTATGTTTTGTCTGATCATGAATGATAAAGACTAAAAGCACTTTTGTAGGCATGGAACAAATTATATTGATAAATTGGGTTTTGCATCCTTGACTGTATGGAACATGCGGTCATGGAAGGCTATGGTATGTGTTCGTATACATGCTTTGTTGGTTTCCTGATGCTAGAGCCTTCTTATGCTTTATCATGTTAAATTTGGATGACTGTCCTGAGGCCTTACCTCTTCTCAATTTTATTGAAGACAGTCCTTCCTTTAGGTAAAGATCCTCCAGCAATTACTTCAGTATGTTTCAATCACAACGGGAAGCTTTTAGCAGCTGCAGCAACTGATGGAATGATTCATATGTTTGGTATCCTTCAGTCATGAGGAAAATGAATTCCCCAACCTCCCAAAACATCCTTGAGGGTGTGTTTTATGTGTTTGCATATCCCACCCTGTCAGCAACATATTGGAAATAGAAGTGAAAGAGGGTATCAAATGTCTATAATAGCCCTGTCTTTACATAAGACCAAGAATAAATTAATGCTAGATTATACTACAGCAAATTTTAGAGAAAATGTTGAAAAGATGAAGAAAATAATTAAGATGTTCTTTTGATAATAAGTAATGTAGTTAAATGCGTTTGACATAATTTTTCAAATTTTATGGTGGTGTGATTTAAAAATTCTAGTAGGTATTTCACCTTGACTGGTATAGATATGTCTGCTGGCCTGCAAATTACTGGGTGGCCAGCTCATGACTCTGCAATTAGCTCTGTTCATTTTGGGCCTGATGAGACAAGCATTTTCAGCTTAGGTGCAGATGGAAAGGTAAGAGTTCAGTGTATCAGCTCCCCTTTCATTGTTAGCTTCTACATATGCAAGTAGTGCTGTATCACATCAAAACTTCTTGTCCATTTGCTAAAATTTATTCTGGCATTTTCCTTCATCTTTCGTGATATTTCATTACATCATGGCAGTTTTTTTTATGAATAAGAATTTAATTTAGTAGTTCATTGCCAGATATTTGAATGGAGTTTGCACAATCAAGGCAAAATTCTTTGGTCAAGAAATTGCAGCAGGTATTTCAATTGCTTGACCACGTGATTTTAATATTTTTGGATGCTTTGCAATTCTTCCCAATTAAGGTTGAACGAAGTCACCATGGTATTATGAACCCTTTACCTGTGCATCCCTGGAATGACTTTCGTTGTTTCTTTATGTCTTTCGCTCATTCCCTTACTTCAGGTTTCCCCCATTTGTAGATTCACAATTGTCATCTTAATTTTGCTTATTATGATGATGACATACTGGCAAAATTTTAGACAAATGGAAATGAACATGTTGATGGGAGCTTTTGTGCTGTAGGTTCTGCAACTTTGAGAACTCATTGCACTGTAGACATGAAATGGCTTTAGATGCTAATGGGAAAAGACTTCTGCTGACTTCTAATTCAGTAAGAGCACCCATATATCAGGTAATGTCCATGCATTAAGCTGTTGCTACTTCATAAACTTCTAGTCATTGCATGTTAAACTCAACGTTCCAATGATGGAATATCGGCTGATTTTAGTTTTGATTGGTGATTGGTTGTTGGATATTAAATTTCATGGTACCTTTAACTTTTCGGGCAATTACTCACACTTTTTACTGTTTCGTGTTATCAGGTTCGAGATTGTACAACTGGGATGAGAACTCTTCTCACAGTGCATGTGTAACAACGGTAGATTGGCATCCGACGTTGCCCATCTTTTTAACTGGATCAGCTGATAACTCGGTGCGAGTCACATCCATATCTTGATTCTGTTGTCTTATGGTTTCAACCATCTGTTCCCTGGCAATATTAATAGGTGTAAGTTCCCATCTGTTTCAGCTATAATACGCTCGAGTAGGCAATTGCTCGTTCATATTCTGATTCTTTTGAATGTAGGGAAAGTGACTTTACTTTTGGCTAATGGTTCCAAACAACATGAGTTGTCTAATTAGATCGCTAGCAAGAAAGCTTGTGTCTTTGTGAGAGAGTTGGGTGGTTTGGGACTTGATGAATGCACAACAACGCCTGTCATCTTCGTATCCTTGTCAGTCGGACAGGCATACGTTCAAGTCATCTGTAATTCGAAGGTTCGAATGGGATAGATTTCTCCTTTCCTATCTCACAAGAGTGATAAGAGTGGATACCTCTTTTGGGTCTTTTCAGTTTTTTAGTGGGGGATGTTACTTCGACTCTTTTGTCGGGAAGAAGCATGAACTGATGAAGGGGATGCGAGAAGATTTCATAATTTTTATGCAGCCTCAATCCGCCTCTTTCTTTTAAATGCAAATTCTATTAGAATTGCGGATATGATTAAAGACAGGCATGGATATTTCTCCAAAAAAAAAAGGGTTATTAAATGCTCAATCGAACTTCAATGGTTCAATTGGAATAGAATTAAGCCCGATGACTCATTTAGCAGTCAGACCAACTCTTAAGAAAAACCGAGACAGGCATACAAAACAATTTCTGGTTGGATTTCTGAAGCATGTTTAGCGAAGGAACAAGCGGGTGAAAGTACATCCTCGGCCCACGCCTGTAAGCCGGCCAGGAATTTACACAGCCCCAAATTTATAAGACAGATAATTCAAACGCAAAACTACATGTGCCATCCAAAGTGCAACACCTGGCAATCCTTCAGTCTCTCTCTCTTCAGTTATTCATCATCATCAAGATCCATGATCATCCTCAAGTGCCTCCTTGAAACAATGGATTTCTGGGACTCAACAGGTGAGACTTCACCCTCAAAATCAGCCAATTCATCGTGCAACTTCTGAGGCTGCCTGTTATTTGCCTCGTTAGTGAGTGCGCTCACGGATTGGTTTACCCCCCAGAGGCCTTCAGTTTCAGTAAAGCCGCATGTTCTGATGTGCCAGAACCCATGTCTAAGGTTCTCACTTCAGCTAATTTTTCTGTTGCATCCCTGACAAGGTGGATGGGTGTTCCAAGTTATAGTTAAATTTCAATCGCGGACTTTAGTTCACGTTGTTAATTTTGAATCTCGGACTTCATCTAAGCCCAAAAAGATACAAATTGCACCAATTTTAAAGAAACAACCAATCTATGCTAATTTGAAAGCCAGCCCATTTCTAAGGTCATGTTCCTCCCAACTCCAATATGCGTAACCTGGTATTATACGTGACTCAACTCCAAGCATGAGAATGATGGTATTAGTCAAAGTAAATGTGAAACCTTTTGTGGCCGCCATGGAGCCCCCAAATGACTAACTAACTTCAAGAATACACTCTTCAAACCTCATATCAACACCCAACATATCTTGTCAGAAAGGTAAGACAAATAAAATGAAGGTAACTTATTTGATTAATATGAATACCTAGTATCGAAAGAGAGAGAGAGAGTACCTTAGTAATTCATCATGACCAGAAATGTCCAACTTTCCTCCATTCTCCTGATTCTGCCTTTCTGTAATTTCAATTTTGGTCTGCTGGCTTTTGCTGGAGTAACAGAAGAAAAATTAAAAAAGGGGTTAGCATCTGTGCTGAGATGCATAAAATAATTCACAATCAAAGACATTACTAAATTAGCTCATTTATTAGAGATTATATAAGTTTATAAATCATTGCTCTGTACAATGTCATCTTAGTTTGTATGGCTACTACGAATTGATGGAAATTATGAGCATCTATTTAGATACACGAAGAAAGGGAAGGAAATTATAATCATTTTCAATATCTTATCTAAATGAATGAAGTAAACAAAACGTCAATGGAAGAGAGAAACTCAGAGAGAACGTACGGCAGAAAAGACCGCAACATTTCATCATCAGAATTATCCAGTGATGGCTGTCTTGCAGACTCCTGGTTCTGTCTTGATGCATATTTAGTTTCACTTTTGCTCCTATAAGCAGCGAGTGAATAAAAAAATTGGCCACATCTAATGCACTAGGGTGAAAACATAAACAAAACCTGCCTTGCAGATAATCAGTAAGGTTCAACTCTCCCTCATTTTGCTCATCATCCAGTTATTATGAAAATCTTCGTGATTTAATTGGTCAGTGAGAATATATCTATGTTATTTTCTTAAAAAGGAAAAGTAAATAAATGACAACAGGTTTGGTTACAACACTAACATAGATGATAAATGACTCCTTCCTTTGCCTCCAAGATGGTAATCAGGAGCATGATGAACAACATAACAGGAGTTGTCCGCCATATCTACGCATCAAGAAAGTATTTTGCACTTTGACTATTTCCTAACTGGTCTTTGAATTGTCAACTGTATAAACTCAGTAAAAACCTAGTTTGAAATGACAAATTATCAAATGTTACCATCACTATTTGCACTAGAAGATTCTTAAATTCTTTTCGAACTGGTTACGCAAAATTCAAAAGTTCAGGAGGCACATATTCATTGTGGTACTACATATGTTTGAAACTAAAGGATCGGACAAAAGGCAAAAGAGCATCGGACAAAGAAAGCAAGCATGGTAGCTTTTATGTAGGGGACAAATGGCTGAAACATGGTATTCTGTAAAGAAAAATAGCTATGCATATGGTTCTTGAGACCAAAAGTCAAAAACCCTCCACGAAGACACTTGCAGAACTAAAATAAGCAAATAATATAGCTGATACATCAAGGATATATATAGCATGAATAATGATTCAGGGACGCAATTGGCCTGTAAAATACAGCAGGATAGAAGTGATGTAAGTATATCAATGAAGGCCATTATATATGTCCACTGAGTTTACCATAAAACATATATTTGACAAGCAGAAATCAGTTATTGAAGCCAAGTTTTATTGTTCTATTGGCATCAGTAAAAGAAATCAGAAGTTACCTCCTTTTCAACGACATTAATGTTGCATGTCAGAATCATCTGCACTGCCTGCAGAAAGTTCACTGGAATCGTCATCCCTCAAATGGAAATTTGTGTCTGACCTCTTCTTTCTGGGGACAAAAAGGCCAAGCTGCTTTAGTTTGCGCGAAACTTGTGCAGTGGAAACTGACCCCTCAGTATCCAAAGCATGGCAATCATGTAGTTGCATCTCTTATGATCTTTAAACCTTCAAACCCCAAAGAAAGTTCATGTTAACTTTAGAATCTCACATTGTTAGAATGCATCAACCAACCACCCCACCGCGCTCCACCCCATGAGAAGAACAACTCTTCTGTAGAATCCACCATTTCACATCTTGTAAGTGTAGATATGAAAAAAACTTACTGTCATCACAACTCTTTGATCCTCTGTTCCTGATCTTCACTAAGTGCACGCACTCTTTTTCTAGTGTGCCTGAGAAAGATGAAGACATGTTTTTATTTTTCAAGCATTCATATGTTCTTCCTATTTGTAAATAGAAATTCAACTAAACATGTGGCCCCGAAAAAGCCCGTCCTAATTATGATCTTCCTATTTGTATACATTTTGCAGATAATCTCATATCAAGTTATCTAAAAGGCAAGTCTTCCAGTCCACAAGCTGCTGAAAGCTGGAAGAGTGAACAGAAATTTCGCAAAGTTGGAGAATGACTCACAGTGGTTTTCTCAATGAAGAACTGCCATCCCCACTCAGGAGTAATTTCACCATCTCTAAGTTCATCAGCAGAACTGGCTACTGACATCCTTCTCTTTCTTAAGAGTTGTAAACCTAGTTTCTTAAGAGTCCGAGGAACTTGAATTGGTGAGATTCTTGCCCCATATTCATCAAGGGCATTTGCAATCAGATGATAGCAATTTTCATGATTTTTATATCTGAAAAGTATTGATGAAAATAAACAGTTTTAGATCAAACAGAAAGAAAGCCTTGTTAGATAAACAAACGAGAAAGTAGAATCCAAAGGGAAGTAACGACTTCATGTTATCATGACCATATTTCAGATATTAATGCCATAGGATTAGTAGTCTTTCACAATAAATTGCACATACAGAGAGCAACAGTAAGTTTGACCTACCAGAAAAAATAACTGATGAGTAATCAGCTACTTCTAATTGACATAATACAGCATAAATAAATTAGTCAGTTTTGAATGTTTCCAAAATAAACTTTTGGTATGTGTAAAAATAGGCATTGGTGAACTTACTTCTCATAAAGATCCCTAAATTTCCTTCCAGTTCATCATTAAGAACGAGAGGTTTTCTTCTTCTCTGCAAGCCTTTGGACACTTTCTCAAAAGAATGACCATCCCTAAGCCAATGCACAATTAGAAATTATACAGGATCATAACAATCAAAAGGACAAAAAGAGAGTCTCAGTGGAATCAATACCTGCTATCATGTTCTTTCTCGCTAGCCTCATCGTTTGAAAATGAAACAATACTTTCTTTCCCATCAGCAGACCTTCTTTTGCTTCTGTCCCGTAGTTCATGTTAGCTTCACAAGAAATTTAATAACTCCATGCAAATTTCAATTCTGTACACCACTTAAATTCGAATGCAATCGCATTCCATATACAGCCAGTCCATGCAGTTAAAAGGTACCCAGTATAACTTAAGAGTATTTGGAAAAATAATTCAAATTCCTCTTAAATATGCACTAAAATTTTTTAGAAGCAAATACCTCTTATGGTGAAGGAATTAGAAATGAGGAAGATGAATCAACAGATAAGAATGCACTATTTAAAAAAAAGATAAGAATACACTGGCTGCATAATGTGAACAAGAAAAATGACTCACTTCTCGCCAACCTCCTCATGAAAGGTCAATATCAGCCTCATCATCACCAAGTGCATCAGCTATACTTCTCCGAACCCATCCTTGCCCGTAAGGCAAGCCAGTTTCTTCATTCAATCCACCTTTTCTAATTTCTTTTCTCAAATTGCCAACCACTTTCAGCATGCATTCAGCATTAATAAGGTGGCATTCTCCTCGTGTTTTCCAAAAGAGAACTTCAACAAAAAGAAGTGGGCGGGTCTTCATTTTTCTCAGCATTCTCCTAACTAAATTTGTCAAAAAAAGAACAATATTCTCATGTTCTTTGCATGGCTTTGACTTCTGCTCTTCCAGAATATCGTAGAATGTAGTGAGCAATGATAACTGTAACAATGTTCAGAGAAACAATATCATGAAATTGCCTTAATTTTCACTCTTAGTCTCAAATTAATAAACAAAAATGCATTTCAACATTCAAGAACAAAATCTTTAGTTGATACCTGGTATAGCATTGGAGAGAGTTCCAGATCTTCACAAACTCTGCGTAATAAGCTTATTATGTAGTGATTGGTACCAAGGGAATTGCTTTTATAGAATTTCAGCAACCAACACAAATTTTTTATGATGGTCTGGTTACTGAGAGCAGAGACTACAGTGGATATGTTAAAATCAACTTCATCTGTTACTGGCTGCTCATCACCAGAAGAATCATCTATTCCTTGATAAGTCTCGTGACAAACATTTTGTTCCACCTCTGGCTTGCTTTTAGAATTTACTATCTCTGCTTCAAATTCTGTATGCGGACTAACCTGACTAAGATCTTCATTTGTAGTCCCTACAGAATCATGAACCACTGCCTTTTCCTTTCCTAAAATGCCAACAGCTTCAGATTGTTCATAACTGGGGCCAATAACTTCATTCTGAGCAGTAACATCCTTTCCAACTGATTCATTAAATAGATCCTTTTTCACTTTCCTTTTTCTGGATCTTTTTGAGACCTTTGGCATGAAACAAATTCCAGAAAAAAATAAGTCAAGTCAAAGTTAATAAGAAGCTGATTATTGCATAAACCATTTAGAAACAGCCTATTTTAAAGTTAAATGGAAAATACTGTTTAACATCTCTTCTACGTATTCAAGCTCTCTGTCTGAGAACAGAATCCGCATATTCTCCTTGACTCTAGAAATGAAGTTCCTTGTAACAGAGAATTGCATGCTCAATGGCATTTTTTTATCATTAAAATTTTGAAAGTCTTAATTGTAATACAGGTAAAATTTCAGCGTCCATCACAGAATATTTTCATATTTTCAGATAACTTTCAGCTTCTTTGGAATGTGAAATGTCATTCTAGGCAAGCAACTTCAGAAAGACTTAATCTGAAACATCAAAAGTAAAAATGCTACTTAAATTTAACATGCAACGCTAAGTTGAACATCAACATAAATTTTGCATGATAAGATTAAGTTGATCATCAGTTTATGATGAAAATATGTCCTTAAGATTTTGGTTGACCAGAATACATGGACATCATCGAACTAATCATATCGTCAGCCCTAGAAATCTAAATGGTTATATTACAGTGACAGGTAGAAAGCACAGTGAAACAGCAAATTAACCTCCAGAAGATCAAACAGCAGCTCAGCTGTTTACAAGAAATAAATTTCTGTTGAAAAATTCTGAACTATTCCCTTCGAAAAAGAATTTGACATCAGTCCTAGCTAGGAGAACCAGCCAAGATTATATGTACACCATAACATACCCTCAATGCGCCGCGTGTTTGGAGGTTTTCCAGGAGCCGTATAATTACATATAAAGTTTCCACCAAATCGGCAAAATCACTGGAAAGAACAAAGAAGTTGGATTATTAGCAACAAAATGGAACATTAAGAAAAGCTGAAAAAGAAAACCATTTAAATAGCAACTTGGCACTCTGTGAACTTGCCAAGTAAAGAAAATAAGGCATGGCTTTAAAATTTTTCAACCATAGAAGATAATAACTTTTTCTCTGTAGACTACCTAATAAGCAAATTAGACTTAGTAATTTCAGCTTTTTATTCCATTTGACTATTTGAATACCAAAATGCATTCATAACTACAGATTTCTCAAAATTAATGCCATATAAGCCAAGCAGACTTCCAAGGAAAAATACCTTAGTGATACCTTAATGACATAAACAAGACAATTCCCAATTATGTTGTTCTAGGTAAATTAAGCTTAAAAATAAATCATCTTTGAAGATTCAGGAAGAACAGTAATAAGGCATTGCTATGGTCTTTGTACTTGAATTGCACCTTTATACTAAGAATAGAGCTTTCTACATGTTAATGTACTGGTGCTTCCAGTATATGCATATATAAAGGAGAAGAAAGGCCTGAACTTTAAATCGCCCCACCACTCGCTTTCTCCTACCATCTCAAGAAAAAGGTAAGCACAGATGTAAATGCAGCCCAAACTAATATGTTATCTAATACAATGTGCATATAACTGATCTCACAGATGTTTCTTATCAACAACAGAAATTTCCTCATCAAGTTTTGTCCTTATTGTAGTCTATGTTGCATAGGTAATCCTAAATGGGATAAGTAAACAAAATCTAGGAGATCTGTCTTTCTATTCAAGACATTCCATGATAACACTCAATTTGGAATGACAGATTCAAGTCAAAAAGTTTATGTGACTTCATAGACTTTGAAAAAGAAAACCTTTTAGCTTGTTTGTGTGTATCAAACAATTTGATCATGTTGAGGAGAAACTGAGTCATTCCTTCTTCAGTTTGGTCATAGAACAACTTGTAAAGAAGGATGCGTGCTGTTTTAGGTTCTGTTGAATCTTCCAGGGACTGCTTGAGCACCAAATCCAGTATACGGATCTGTCCAAAATCAAAACTGATCTGTTAGAAAGCAAAATTCAAGCCATGGATCATGCAAAAGAGTTGATAAACAAATTAGAAAATTCAAATACATGTGCAAGATGATGTCCCAAATTGTCCAGGGCTTAAGGTAATTTAACATGAATGCACTACATCTGCAGGCATGTGAAGGAACAAAGTACTGGACAAAGCATAACATATCCATTTCCACAGACTGTTAGCTACTAAAACAGTAAAAAATTAAGCAATGGACAAGTCACCATAATTTTTAATAGAGATCCAGCTGCAGAAAGCATTTTGTAGTCATTTGTCTCCTTCAAGCCATCAAATGCAAAGCGCCACTTAGAAATGAGAACTAGAAACATGGACTCGTTTAATGATTCAGCAATTGGTCCACACACAGTACCCCCAAATAGAGTTTTATCAGCATTCTGATCAATGGATGATTTGCCGTCAACTTGAACACAAGGCTGTCGAGGCATAAAAACGAAAAGGACACAAGAATTATATAAAACACTAACCAATAGTTAGCAAAGAAAATGAAGCTAGAGATATGCAGCAACTGAAGACTCTTTTGATATTTTTTAGAGTTTACTAATTCATCTTGAATCCCCTCTCAAATTTTCTAAATAAGAAGTCAAGGACTTGAAGCATGAAACCAAATTTACTATCTTACCAAGATAAATCATTTTAAGGCGTTAATGCTAATCTAACCAAGAGTGGCATTATGCATCTATCAAAAATTAATATCTTTCAAATCTGTATAATCTTTCTAAAAGTAATATCTTTCAAATCTGTATAATCTACAACACAAGTTTAACCGTAAATAAAATTCAGGTAAAGCACTACATAGCCCAAGAAATGTGCATACCCAACATAACAAAACTGCTAAAATTATTTCCCTTGAAGCAATAAAGTCCATCAGTATCTGGCCATTAAGTATAAAAATTGACCTGATATTAAGTCTACTAACAGACAAGGCAAATGCAGACAGATGACACCATTCTGTTTTGTTCATGTGATATGGTCTTTAATCAGACTAAAGCATTCAAACATTTAAAAGAAATTGCATAAAGAGTTCTACAACTCTAAATATGAGACAACAAAATTACCTTTAAATAAAACAATGGAATGCTATCAACATGCTCAAAATTTCAATACTCAATTTATTGATAACAGAAACTTGCCAATACATTTGCAATTCAGCCAACCACAAAGCAGCAAAAATTAACAAGGAAGATTCAAGCAACCAAATACAAAACCAATGTGCTGCCAAAAAAAAATTCTCTTTGTACTTCAACCATCTATATAATAAATATATGGCAAGGAAAATATTTTGTTTTTAGTACATACCAAAATCACTTATATAATGGACACTAAGACAAAATTTTCAGTTCCCCAAATATATTTTACCTTTGAATTCAGGAACTTGTGATATTGGAACGAAGTAACAAACCAAGCAACCTGAAAGAAAGTGACAACGTCGTTGTTTTGAATTGCATGACATTCTTTATCAATATCTTCACGAATTGACCGCATCAAAACTGGCGAGAATTTTCCGATGGTGAGAACTATTGCAGAATTGCATAACAAGGAGGATTCAAACAGATCCAAAACTCATTAAGCTTGCGTACCATTATATCCCCCTGATAGAAATTGGTCAATAAAATCATGAAGCAACTGCAAAATTTTGGTTTTTGTTGATGGAAGTTTTCCATGGTCCCATACTGTTCTTTTAGATGGACCGCGATGATTTTTGTGAGCTTTCAGTAAAGCATCATGAGAAGCAGAACAGGGATTTCCCTTAAATAACGTTTTAGAACCATCCTGTTGCAAACAACTTGTTCAGTTACTAAAGGAGTACATAACCCAAAAGGATCAAGTGGCAGAGTAAACCTCATACCATAGTGAGGCGAGTAAGTTTAACCGTAAATAAAATTCAGGTAAAGCACTACATAGCCCAAGAAATGTGCATACCCAACATAACAAAACTGCTAAAATTATTTCCCTTGAAGCAATAAAGTCCATCAGTATCTGGCCATTAAGTATAAAAATTGACCTGATATTAAGTCTACTAACAGACAAGGCAAATGCAGACAGATGACACCATTCTGTTTTGTTCATGTGATATGGTCTTTAATCAGACTAAAGCATTCAAACATTTAAAAGAAATTGCATAAAGAGTTCTACAACTCTAAATATGAGACAACAAAATTACCTTTAAATAAAACAATGGAATGCTATCAACATGCTCAAAATTTCAATACTCAATTTATTGATAACAGAAACTTGCCAATACATTTGCAATTCAGCCAACCACAAAGCAGCAAAAATTAACAAGGAAGATTCAAGCAACCAAATACAAAACCAATGTGCTGCCAAAAAAAAATTCTCTTTGTACTTCAACCATCTATATAATAAATATATGGCAAGGAAAATATTTTGTTTTTAGTACATACCAAAATCACTTATATAATGGACACTAAGACAAAATTTTCAGTTCCCCAAATATATTTTACCTTTGAATTCAGGAACTTGTGATATTGGAACGAAGTAACAAACCAAGCAACCTGAAAGAAAGTGACAACGTCGTTGTTTTGAATTGCATGACATTCTTTATCAATATCTTCACGAATTGACCGCATCAAAACTGGCGAGAATTTTCCGATGGTGAGAACTATTGCAGAATTGCATAACAAGGAGGATTCAAACAGATCCAAAACTTCATTAAGCTTGCGTACCATTATATCCCCCTGATAGAAATTGGTCAATAAAATCATGAAGCAACTGCAAAATTTTGGTTTTTGTTGATGGAAGTTTTCCATGGTCCCATACTGTTCTTTTAGATGGACCGCGATGATTTTTGTGAGCTTTCAGTAAAGCATCATGAGAAGCAGAACAGGGATTTCCCTTAAATAACGTTTTAGAACCATCCTGTTGCAAACAACTTGTTCAGTTACTAAAGGAGTACATAACCCAAAAGGATCAAGTGGCAGAGTAAACCTCATACCATAGTGAGGCGAGTAAATATTCCGCTGAACTGTGAATAACAACCCAAGTTACGCAGCTTATTCAGCTTCCTTTTCTCTTCTTCAGCTTGCATGATGCAGCTAAGACCCTTGAGTGAGGATTCAACATTTTCATCCTCCTAGGAATCAAAATCATATGAATAGACAAAGCTGTGTATGTTAGCATATATGTGTATGTAGCACAGACGCTGGGGAAACAAAGCATAAACATGATTGAAAAAGAATTAAGTGTAAAATCAATAGCAACACAACCATGCAACTAATATCATTTCCAGGTGATCAAGTTTACCAATTAGTTTTAACTAGTCAAGGTCAGGCCCACTGGATAACAAGCTGTAGAGGGTTATGTATCATCAGATATGTGTTGTCCATAAAAGGGAAAAAGAAGGTTTCCATTTGGTATAGATATATTCATAATTGTCCTAATGTACCCTTTGTCAAATTAGAGAGAAAGCTTCAGGGGAACAAAGCCATTTTGTCTGAGGCCCTTCTGGGAAAATGAAGCAAAAAAACTGGTAAAAGAGCAAATTGTTATAAGCTTACAAAAGCACTTTTGATTGTGTTTGCTTTTGGTGAAAATTACAGCTGTCTCATTGCCATGAGCCAAATTTGATGAGTTTGAATTTAGTTGCCCTATAATTGTCAGTGTTTACTGGTTTCAGAATAACTGCTATCCTTTTGTCTGATGCTTGACTTCAAGATGCTCAGCAACTCAAAATAAAAGGTAAAGTTTCTGCAATGGTAGCTTTTAAAAAAAAAAATGCTTCCAACATATTACTTTCTTCTTTGAAGTGAATTCAGAAAAGATTGAAAATGAAGTGCTCAGCCTACCATAACAAAATCATTTGAATTTCCAATTTCTATATAAGTTTTGACCACTGTTCTATTTTTATGGTAACTTTCAGACATTACACTGCTACACAAAGCATGAAACATAAAGATGCAAGGCCTATTACTGGAGGCAATGAAGATAAACAAACCTTTGAGTTTTCTAAATAGGCTTTAGCAATCAACTCTGGCTCTTGACCCATAAATATGTAATAAAAAGTTTCCAGTAAAAGCAAGTTGTCTTGACGCAAGTAGCCACAAGAACCACCAACATGCTGTGATAGTACTAGTATTATTTCCATCATGTTTTCTTGAAATAACAACTCTAAGAACCTGTCTCTGAGAGATAGAAATTGTGTGGCTGATCCACCCGCTTTTTGCTGGGTTGATATTTCTTGAATAGCTAGAAGGTTCCTAAATAGCGTAAGCACCAGCTGAACCAACTTCCAGTCATCTTCCATGAACATTTCACTGGTTAACAGAGAATTAGTAAATGGATTGAGATAGAGGCAAATATCAAACATCAAAAAGCAAAAGAGCTGAATCATTTCATGAGAATTGCATGAACATACAGCAACTGAGAAGTATGAAAAACAAAAATGATATGAAATAGGAAAGAAAAGAAAGCCATCCAAGTCAAACTACCATTGAGTCAAATATGCTTGAGAAACCAGCATATTTCCAATATTCAGAGTCCATCGCCAAATTATGAAGTTATGCTCATATGCCACATAGTTAGAAATTTGTTCAATGCCAGACAATCAAGATAGAAAAATTATTGCTGACAGAATAGGGGAGCAGAAGAGAGGTGGACCAGGATTTGTGCAGAAAAGAATAAAACTACAAGCTCAATTTGTAGGAATTCCACCATAACTTGCCTAATGAAGCCAAAGTATTAATAATAATAATAATAATAAAGTTGGTTGTATCAACCTACGACACTAACGCTATTATTTTGAACTTCTATTCAAATATAAATTAAATATAAAGTTGCTAATATTAATCTATGAGACTAGTGATATCAGTTTTTAATTGAAAAAAAAATGAACAAGTGTCCCTAGATATTCATGTCTTCTATAGTCATGTTCCAGTTGACTCTACAGAAGAATAGGATAATCTTGCCAATAGGGAAATTAATTTCACACCCTTTCAGTTAGGTTATTGTTAATGGCAAGCTGACAATATCAGAAGCTACAGGTGGAGATGTCAAAGCCTAATTTTTATGCTTCTTACTGAGTTTCCTAATAACATGCAACTTAAACAAGAATGCCCCTTGCACAAGGAGTTCTAACAAGCCAATGTATCTTAATCTCGTGCTAAAACATGTTAACTACAAATAAACACCTTTGCCAGCAGAGCGATATACAAAGCCACCTTTACAAGAGCTGACAATATATTCCTATTTGACTACTGCAAAAAACTTCTTGTTCTAAAATCAAATCTTGAATTAATCACCCAACCCCTGGAACAATACAGAATAAAATATGACGTCCAGTAGAAGACAGCATCGGAACAAAAAAAATCATTCACCTTTCCAAATTCTCCAACGGCTTCTCCAAAAGAGACAGTATCACGGGAACAATCTGACTAAAGGTTACAGAAGATTTTACGCCCCAAAGATACTCTATTTGCTGTGGTATATCATCGGATGTTGGGTCAATTGGCATCGTGAGAAACACAAGAACCTTCACTGAAAAAATAATACAACAACCCTAAACAAGTTCCAAAGACAAACATATATATTAACCATTGAACACTAATGTTTAAAAAAAATGTTACCTGCATTTAACACTAAATTACGGTCATCTTGGCAATACTCGATAATAGGTATCAAATCTTTCCCCACGGTATTCCATTTACAAACTTGTTTAAAAACCTCTCGCGTCTGTGGATCATCTCGCCTCATAAACCTCAACAAATCCTTCAAATTATCTACCCATAAATTGCACCATGAGATGAAAATTAACGCCGGATAGTAAGTAATAAAGAAAATTACATTCTGTTACAGTATTTGCTTACTATAAGTAACTATAATTAAAAATAATGAGAAATACCTAGGCAATACTGGCTCTTGGAGTAGCCGATTCGATTGCCGTGGTCGTCTTCTTCGAGGATTCCTATACCAGCACAAATAGTTGATAGTCCTTCCATGATCCTCCTTAGTTGAGGATATGTTGAGGTTTCAGAAATGAAGGGGTTCTCAAAGGAGGAGGTGACAAATCGAGGCCAATTCAAGGGCCGACCCGAGAGATTGGTAGTTGGATCTCGACTGGAGAACCCCCGTTTGTGTTTTTTTTTAGTTCAGCATTTGGGGTTTGTGGCGGCAAAAACTAATCGTCTTTCGCATTTTCCCGCGCTTTTTTTTTTTTTGGGGCGGGGGCCGGGGGTCGTGAATTATGCGATCTTGCAGCCTCCATGGCATTTGGGTTGTTGCTGGGTTGGGCTATCGGATTTTGGGTGGATGAACACCCCTATATTTAGTTTCCTTCCTCAAACGGTCCAACTTCAAAACATCCCATCTTACAGCTTCAACTGCAACCCGCGGTCACTAACGGTACACTGAGTCGTCTCTTCTTGGATGGGTGGACAAAAAATGCTGGTAACGACAGTGGATTTGGGCCTCAGCCTCACAGTCTGCCAAAACAGTTTTAAAAAAAAATGAGGCGAAACTAGGTCTGCAAAAAAATCGAGCAAACCGCTTGTAAACACCAGCGACACCGGTTCGATTAAGTTCGACTCAAGTTTGATCAACATCAAGCTTAATTCGAACTAAAATATAGAGAAATTTACTTGTTAACTCGCAAATTGGATCAATTATATATTCACACACACACACACATACATATATATGAACAAATTACCTAAATAGTCACTAAATTTTTTAAATAATCAAGATTTGGCTATTCAATTATTAATAATATATTTTTACCCACTGAACTATTAAAAGTGTAAATTTCATACCGTTCCATATAATTTAACTGTTAACTTTGCCAGATTTAAAGGTTTGCATGACTTACGAGACATAAGATTAATAGTTAGATTGGCAAAATTAATAATGAAATAAAACAGAATTATCCAAAATTTATATTTTTGATAATTTAGTAGGTACAAATATATTCGAAAAGTTTAATGACTATCAGAATAATTTGCTATATATATAATTTTTTTGTTTGAATATATAATTTAACATTTTATTATTTTTCAAAAAAAATCACTATTTTATTTATTTAAAAATAATAATAATAATATTTTTTTTTTTTAACAAACTCGAATTCAACGTGTCTCGATGTGACCTCGAGGTCGAGTTTTGATTTGACCAAATATCAGCTCGATTCGTTTGCCGTGCCAGGCAAAACAACGTGGCTGCACTCTTCGAAGAAGAAGACGTTGAAGTTACTCCAACAAAATACGACAATTTGTACGTATGGTAAGACTAGTAGTAGTACTCTTATTTCTCACCATCCGCCACCTATATATATATATATATATACACATATACATATATAGGGTAGTACTTCATACCGCAATTTCGATACAAACGAAGCCGCCAGCCTGCTAGCTTCCATAGACTCTTTCTTTCTTTCATACTCTCTTTTCTCCGTTTCTCTCATTTTCATCTCTCACGTACTTGCGTCCTCCTCCTCTAAACTTCCGCCAAATACAAGGGCGATCTCCCCAACGCTTTATACTTGCATCGCTGGACGGACTATAACCATTTTCCTTCCAACGCCTTCTATTCGTCCTTGTAATCTCATCATTCTTTCTCTCGAACACCCATTTGTTTTTTGGTTCACTGAACAGCGATCGAAACAGTAGAATGGCTCATGTGGTGGCGACCCAGCCAATTCAGAGTTCGTTGGCCAACCCTACCTCTGGATCTCTACAAACCCAAGTGGAGAAGCTCAAGCCCCCCTCTGCCTTTCCTGCGAAACTGCTGCCCCGTGTTCAAAGGGACAGCCGCCCAGCCGCCCGCACTATTGCTATCCCCGTCATTGCCAGAAGATCTGCAGGCCTCGACTCTCAAGTCCTTCCCTTCACTCCCGAAGACTCCCACAAGGTCTCATACAAACTCACTGACTACTTTCTATTTCTTACTTGGCTTCAATCTGTAATCCTTTTTTACCCCCCTCGAGTTCCTGGCTGGCAATGTCCATGCCAACGTGCTTGAATTTCGTTTGCTTTTCTCCTGTTTTATATTATGCCAATAATTAAAGTTTGGATTCCAATTCCCAAGTGGCGGTACCTTAAATTTGAAAGGTATTTCCTGACATATAGTACTAGTATATATCAACCGCATTTGTCAGGTAGGAGAATAATTTCGTGATCTGCAGAAAATTACTTGACTAAAAAACCCAATTTTTAATGCTTTCCTTCCTAGTGTTTTCTCTTGGTTAACTTAATTTACACTGCCAGTTTTGCGGCATCGCCTTCTGACTTCTGAGGGATTTTAATTGCATTCAGCGACCATTTTCCATCTACTAGTTTCTTCTGCCAAAAAAGCTCTATCAACTTCTTATGTGCTCCTGAATTCTGTCGGAGGAAATTCCTTGATTTATCCTTTTATGAGACACGATGTATATCCGTGGAATCTTTAGGTGCACTAATTTGTAAATATTAAAAACAACAAGGTTGGATACTAGAGCCAATGCAAAGCATCAAAAAGGAAAGGAAACTTTTGTCTTTCTTTTTCAGGGGGCTGGGGATTTTGGGGAGGAAGTCATAGACTGTTTAGGCCTCTGACTGCATTTTTGTGATGATTACAAATATATCATTACTATAAATACCATTTCTCTTACGTTTTTTTATTTTTTGTGGTTTAAATATGTTGTTGCTATCAGACAGAAGAGCATATTCAACCCTTACATGAGATTCAGCAATTTGGTGACACATCACTTGGCATGTGGTCTAAGCCTATAGTAAGACGCAAGACAAAAATTGTTTGCACAATTGGTCCCTCCACCAACACTAGGGAAATGATATGGAAGTTGGCTGAGGCTGGGATGAATGTTGCTCGTCTGAACATGTCCCATGGAGACCATGCATCTCATCAAAAAGTAATTGACTTGGTTAAAGAATACAATGCCCAAGCAAAGGACAACGTCATTGCCATTATGCTTGATACTAAGGCAAGTATATCCTTGTCAAGTCCATGTCTGCATACAGGCATGCATCTTTTTCCCATTATATGTGTATAATTTGTTGTTATTAACCGTGAAATTTGTGCTTTCTTATACTTTTTCAATATCAGAAGAACAAGAAACTGGTTCTATAAGTTTAGAAGTAAAAGACATATGTATTTGTCCACCTACAGATATCCCTGTGCTCAATTGGATTAACATGTGGCAGGGTCCAGAGGTTAGGAGTGGTGATTTGCCCCAGCCAATCATGTTACAACCTGGACAGGAGTTCACCTTTACAATCAAGAGAGGGGTGGGAACTGCTGATTGTGTTAGTGTTAACTACGATGATTTTGTCAATGACGTTGAAGTAGGGGACATGCTTCTTGTTGATGGTATGCCAGAGCTTTTCTTTTTCTACTTTAACTTGTTTTACTATTGATAGAATGTAAATAAAGCTATACACATGCAGACCTCACTCTGCTGGCTATTATGTAAAATTTTTCAATCTTTCACCACAAATTTCAATTAGCGAGATAAGTGTGAAAAGTCCAAAGTGGTAAATAGAAATGTTTTATTTTCGTCAATTTTTTGCTCTCCGTAAAGAACATAGTCATTAAGTTGAAGCAAAGAATTATTTACTAAAAAAAGTGATGAATGTAAAGAATAATGAAATCCACAATACCAAAAGAATAATGAAATAGTTTTGGCCTCATACCCGAAAGGAAGAAATGAATGTGAAATAGTGAAGCTTTGTTTTCAATTTACATTGTATTATGCTTCTAGGTATGCAAACTGTTGGTTTTAAGAAAGGTCTTATTGAATGCGAGTGATCTTGCAATTACTGTCCTGAAATCCTTAGGGATGTGCATTATTTGCAGCAGTTACTGCGCTGAACTATGTGCAAAAAGCTTAAACAGAATGATACACATCGTGTGTATTAACTTCTGTCCATAAATCTTGGAGGATTCAATTGCAGCTTGTTAATAATCTTTATTTATAGGGGGCATGATGTCACTGCTGGCAACATCCAAGACAGAAGATTCAGTGAAATGTGAAGTTGTTGATGGTGGAGAGCTTAAATCCAGGCGGCATCTAAACGTTCGGGGAAAAAGTGCTACACTTCCATCAATTACTGGTAAGACCCAGTAATCATTTTCTTGACACTTTTCTGGGGGTCTGTGCTGCCGCATATGCGATGTGCAGGATTATAATCTCTGCTAGAAGAGTTGAAAGTTATTCTTTTGCAAAGAAAGTAATCTGGTCCTGTAATTTGCTGCAGAAAAGGACTGGGATGACATCAAGTTTGGAGTAGACAATAAAGTAGATTTCTATGCTGTCTCCTTTGTCAAGGATGCTGCAGTGGTCCATGAATTGAAGAATTATCTCCAAAGTAACACTACGTATATTATCTTTGAGTAGTGCTAGAAAAATAGATAAAGAATTGGTAAAGATAAGTTGTAATTAATATGTTCCACATTCATTTGTATACTTGATAATCTTCTTTTGGGCTCTCCAGGCTCTGGTGCAGATATTCACGTGATTGTAAAGATTGAAAGTGCTGACTCTATACCAAACTTGCACTCAATTATTACTGCATCTGATGGGGTAATTACCCAAGTCTCTGCTCTGTTTTTTGCCCTTTTTTGATTCAACAAATATGATATTAGCTCTTGAGCAAGCAGAAATTGGTCTTGGGTTTGGGCACTCACATGTAGTAAATAATTATGCCTTGTCATTATGTTTGACTGTAGTCATAGTCGTCTTGTATATCTACTGCTAGATTTTTTTTGCCCTTTTTGGGGGATACAACTGCTAGATTTACAAAAAGAGTCATGTCATGAAGCTATGTCATGTAAATGAAAGGAACCCTACCCTGTTTGCCAAGGATGGGGTTTGTTTTGTTGAATGTGGAGCTTACTATGAGTTTTTCCTAATGTATTATTTAACTCTTGCACCCTGTGCCTTGTCTTGGCATGTAGGTGGCATTGCTTCCCCATTCTCTCTTTCTCCTCTTTTTTTTTTTCCTGTCTCTTCCATTGAAAGCGGACATTGTCTTTATTACCAGACCTGCTTATCTTATCTCAGGCAATGGTTGCAAGAGGAGATCTCGGTGCTGAGTTGCCAATTGAGGAGGTTCCCCTGTTGCAGGTAATTATAAGTTTCCAAGACTACTAGCTTTTAACATATTTGTCGGTAAGCTTCTGAAAGCTTTTCA